TGTCACTAAGCAGACCTCAGAGCCCACCATGTCTAGTCCTGCCCCTCCCCGATCACCACCCACCCTATTGTTTATGCTCAGTGACCCCAAAGCGGGGGAGATGCGTTCCAGAAGGAGAGCGTGGCATGTCCAGCCTGGGCTGGAGACCAGGGAAAGACTCTGTGAGAGAAGAGTAGGCAGAGGGAGAAGGAGGTGGCAAGTAAGGAGGAACTTTGGAGTGAGTCGTCCCAAGTGCTTCTTCCGAGCTGATGCAACGACCGTCCTCAGTCAACCTTCCCGGCCTTATCCCACAATGTCCCTCTGTCCAGCAGGACGGGCCTCCGGCTGTCCCCCACGCGCAGCCTTTACCCAGCCTTCCAGCTCCCACCTGGACAGCGCCTCCTCCTCCTTTTCAGCTCTCAGAATCCCTCATTTCCTTCAGAGTCTGGCTCGAGGGCTCCTTCCCGCAGGAAGCCTCTGCTGATGCCCAACTCTGGCCAAATGATTCGGCGTCTACCTCGGCCACATGTGCTGGCTTCACTTCTATGCTTATGCGCGGGGTTCTCCTCCACCTCCCACGACATCATCGAGCCCCTGGAGGGCAGGACTTAGTCTGTTCTTGTCTGTGCCCTCAGCATCTAGCACTGGTCTCTTGCACATAGTCGGTGCTTAATAAATGCTTGTAGACTGAACCCAGCCATAACCTGGGGGATGAGCGAGCTGTATGACATGATGGACAGGGAGCTGGACTCGAGGTCAAGAAGACATTGGCCCACGTCCAGCCTTTCTCACTTACTAGTGGCATGATTATGGGCAAGATATCTAGCATCTCTTTAAGAGAGTCCGGCGGCATAGTGGGTGAGTGAGATTAGGAAGCCCTGAGTTCAAATCCTGCCACAGATACTTCCTAGCTTGTGACCCTGGACAAGTCTTCTAACCCGCCTCCGCCTCCTCATCTACGAAAGGGGGTTGATAATCCTAGCCCCCGCCTCCAGAGGCTGCTGTTGCAAGGTTCAAATGAAACAATGTCTGCAAAGTGCTCGCAGACCTGGAAGCCCGCGTGTCAACCTGCAGCATCTTCTGCTCGACACCTTCCTCCAACCAGGGCCGAGCCCGCTCTCTGGTGCCCGGCAGGTTTCGGTGGCCATTGTTAGACGCTGCCCGAACAACTTCAGAGCAGCGCAGAGCTCGTCAGCAGGCCGGACCACTTGCTTGGGCTCCGTGAGCGTGCACGCCCCTCTTTTCCAGTAGCCCCTTGATATGCGACACCAGCAAGGGGTCCCTCTGTTTCTTGCTTTCTGCCTGACGGGGCACAAACCTCTCCCTTGCTGCTTGCCTGTAGACACGACATCTGGATCCTTCCCAGGCTCCTCCCTGAGCCTTCTCTCATGAATGCAGACTGAGGAGGGGCTTTTCCCTCTACCTAGCCTTCCACAGCCAGAGTACCAGAGACTGTTTGGAAGCTGAGGGTGGGGGGTGGAATGTCAGGCAGTCCTGGGGGATGAAAGAGAAGGGAAGGCCTGCTGAGGCCCCAGGTGCCAACCTCCCTGCCCACTGCTGGCCCTGATTTCAGGTGCAAACTGAGCCAAAAAGCCCCCTGGTGCAGACCAATCGGTGGGACCAGAATTTGGATCCTAAATCTGCCTAACTGGCACCAAGGATGCCACCCCCACCCCACCCTCCAGCAAAATGATAGCATTTGTCCCGGGTGGGTTCCATCCGCCTGGCAGGCCATCCGTCCTTCCTGCTTTCAGTCCTAACTCTCTCCTCCAAATAAAGAAGTCGAGGGCATCGTGTTGGCACCAAAGTCCCAGCCTAATGCCAAAGCCTCTGTGAATCATGGAGTGAGATCTGGGAAGCCCCGGCTGACCCAGAGGGCAATGGAAAGTGGCCCAGTGGGTATGATTTGCCCCCGTATTGCCTGAGATTCCAGGTGAGCAAAGAGCAGGATGAGACCCTCCTTTAAAAAGGGGAGCCTTTATAGAAAAGGCATAGACATGAGAAGTCGGGGGAGCAAGTGCCCATGCCTCAACCCCTCAAGTTTGGGGTGATGAAGCAGCCGGCATTGGCACAGGGCTTGGACCCCTTCCAAAATGCTTTCCTGTTTGCTATCTCAATTAGAGCTGCCACCGCCCCAGGTGACTTCTCTGAAAAACCACGTTTTTAACAACCAGAAGAGACACAGTCCCAACGTGAAAGCCCCCAGGCAGAAGTCAGTTCCGCTGTCTCTCTGGTTCTGTGCCCCAGAAAACAAAAATGCCCTGAGGCTCCCCTCCCCACCTCCCATCTGTGAAGCCAGGAGGCACCTGGCTCAGCACCTGGTAGAATGCTAAGTGACTCCAGCCATGGCCGGGCTGCCAGGAAACCCAACCAGCATTCCCCCGCAGGCTCCAGAAGTCTAGAACCCACCCCCACCCTCATGGGTGCTCCCCTTGTTCTGTCCTTCAGCCCTGGATAAAAAGAACCAGCACAATGAGGCTCCTGCCTCCACAGGAACCACAAAAGCCTTGGTGGGTTGGGGGCTGCTCCCTGGGGAGCAGGCGGGAGGGGGGCATTATCTAACCTTAGGGCTAAGGATGGAGGTCATTTCTAATGCAAAAGTTCCAGAGCAAGTGTGTACAATGGCAAGAGCCTAAGTCAGGGGGCCTGGGTTCCAATCCTGTCACTACCTGGATGACCTTGGACAGCTCACTTCACTCCCCATCCTCAGTTTCCTCATCTCTAAAAGGAGCCTCCGCAGGTGCGCTCCCTGTTCACTGATACGAACAAATGCCCCAGACTTGATTAGTTTTTACTAAGGTAGTAAAAACAGTTGGTACAAACGACCCTTCCCCCCCACCCCCGCCCCCCAGTCTATACTACCGTTTCCCACGAGTACTGACAGGAGACAGGAGAAAGTGCGTTCTGGCAAAGGAGGAACGTCCCGGCGCCCTGAGAAATGCCTCAGCTGGAGCCCGCAGCCTGTTCGCGCTAGCCACACCGCTCTCAGTCCATCGACAGCGCGCATGGAGACGGGGGAGGTCGAGCTGATTGATGGGCGTGGTGACCGAGCACCCGCGAATGCCATGCAGGTGGCGGGCTCTGAGGGGCAAGGGATGTTGGGGACATCACATCCCCAAGACCAGCACAGGGGTCGGGGTGCCGGCCAGAGACGGCCAGGAGCCTTCCTGCTCTTCCTGGCCCGGGCTGCGTCGGAGAAGGGGAACAAGGTGAAGGCGCCTCCGTGTCCCCAGGAGCACAAGATGAGGCGAGAGAGACGTCTAGGATGGGGGAGGGGAGGGAGAACGTCGCTTTATTTTGCTTAATTTTTGTTAATGCCTTTTACTTTTATGTCACATTCATCTCAAAATTGAGTCCCTGTGGGGTAGTGGATAAAATGCTGGACTTAGGGTCAGAAAGACCAGAGTTCAAATCCTGCCTTGAACACTTACTGGTTGTGACCCTAGGTAAGTCACTTAATTTTTCCTTATCTGTAAAATTAGGACATCGGACTCGATGATCTCTAAGGTCCCTCCCAGCTCAATATCCAAGACCCTACGACCCAAACGCAGCCCCTCCCCTCCCCAGGAGCGCTGAAGGTGAGTTTTTTAACCACGGAACAGGGGCCATAGGAGCCGAGTGCAAGAACGAGCGAGGGCCTGAGCAGGGAGGGGCAGCTGGCCAGGGAGCTAGGCCGAGGCTTCCAAGCACGGCCGACGGCCACTTTTCATCCCGGGAATTCTTGGGGAGGTGGTCCAGGATGGAAGCACCGGTGGTCCTGGCACAAGAGACCCCGTGGGTGGCCCAAGGGAGAAGCCACTCCAGCCGCTGGAGTGCGATCAGGCCCCAGGCAGTCCAAGTCAGCCACCCTCCTTGCCTAGCGACACAGCCGAGGGATCCCTGAGGTGTCTAATGAGCTGGTGGGCAGAGCACTGCTGCCCAGGTGCTCAGTGGTCAGGGAAGCCTGAGGCAGCTGTCCTCCCACAGTCTGGGGGCACAGGCCAGGACCGGCCCCGCCTCCGTAGCAGGTGACCAGGGACCTCCAAAACCCACGCCCTCTCTGACTGGGAGCTCGGTGTAAATCATTCCATCGGTACCAGGTCGCCAGGTGAGACCCTCCCTCACCAGGAAGAATTAGGGACAATTACCACCATTAGCCCTTTCCTTTAAACTCCAGCTGGAGTTTATTCCCACGGGTCCTTCCCCCAAATTAAATGAGCAATGGAATGGCTGGGGCATAGGAGGAAATGACCGATGGATCAATCGCCCTTCTCCCTGCTCCAGCCTCAGGGAGAGGCCTCTAGTCCCCACCAGGCATCTGAGAAGAAGCTCCCCCAGCCCCAGGCTCTCCTAAGGGAGAGGCCAGACCCGGTACTCACGAGGGCAAGGAGCCCTCCGAGGGTCCCTGTCAGGGCAAGCCAGTCAGGGCATCTTGCTGGCAAGGCCAGATAGACACCTGCTATCCTCAGTACCATCAGTGTGTGCATGCATGTGTGTGTGCGTATTCGCTTATGTGTGTGTGTACACATATAGCATATATGGCATTCCCAAAAGTGCTGGTGCAGCTTTAACATTTAATAACTCCAGAAGAAAAAATGCTATCAACTTCTTTTGAAAGGTTAATTTAAATTTCACACAGCTGTCCATCCCCCAAATCTGGCCTCGGACACTGAGTCTTTCCTTTCGTGTAGTGGACAATGACTTCTCAGAGGTGGGAAAACCAATCACTCCAGACTCGGGAGCCATCCCAGGGAGGAGGCTGGGGCACCCGCTTCTGGGCCCTCGGCTGAGCAGTAAAGGGGGGCGGGCGTCCTGGGTGACCCTGGGCTCCTCCCATGGCACGTGTGCTGAGGAGGCGCAGGCTGCTGGGTGGGCCTCAGTGACCCAGGAAGGTTCTGGGTCTGCACAGAGGGCAGGAGATCCCCCCACCCACTGACCAGGGTGGACGCTTAGGGTTTAACAGGCTCCCTCGCAGAGTGACCCAGACCCAGACCCAGACCCAGATCTAGACCATCAGTCAATAAGCACAGAAGACCAGCAGCTAAGAGAAACCATCTGGATTTATAAAAACTTGATATACAACAATATTTTTGTTTGGTTTTGTTTTTGGCAAGTAAGAGCTATAAAAACGTCTGGAACAAAACCGAGGAACAGAAAGAGACAACTGCAGGGGCGGAAGGGCCTACGGGAGGCCCCGCGTGGGCAGCGAAGGACAAAGCAAAGAGAAAGCGAAAGGACGCAGCAGACAGAGGTGACGGAGGGCAGCTGAGGGCACATGCAGCCTCCCTTCCTTTCAGGCACTCAAGGCAGGCCGGCATTTCCTCTCCTCACGCGCTCTGTGAGCCCTGGCGTGCTCAGCAAAGGGTGGGCCCCTTTCATCATCCGAGCCTGCACCGGACACGGAAGGACGCAGGGCCGGACAGAGGGCGGCTGGAGAGGAGGAGGCGCAGCGTCGAGCTCCGTCAGAAAGGGGGCAGGGGCTCGCCTTCATTAGTACTGGGGTGGGCGACCGCCCGTAAGGCAGGCTGAGCTGCGGGGCACGGGGCCTCCCCCGGAAGGGCACAGAGAACAAGGACTCCATAGGACACAGGGAAAGGACATTCCTGACCTAATTCTGAGGTAGGCACGTCTCGGTCAGCGCAGGAAGCTGAGGCCGGCTGTCGAGACCGAGGAAAGGCAGGCTTTGCTTCCAAAGAGGGCTGCCTAAGAGAGAACGTCTGGCCCAGACCCTCTCCCCACGGCTCCATGCAGCCTGCGGGGTGGTCTGGGGCGGGAGAGAGGGGCAGATGGAGATGGGCATTGGGAGGGCCAGGAAGGCACGGCTCCTGCTCCCACCCACGGAGCATCCCTGTGTGCAAGAAGAGCGCGGCATACCTCGGGCACATGGCGCCTCCTATTTACAGTTGTGCCCACGTGCCGCTGACACAGGGCAGGAGGGGCGGTGCCGGCGGCTGCTCCAAGGGGCTGGGCCAGGCCACGAGGGCCGGCCGCCCACCTCCACCGTTCTCTGGTTCTCTGGTCTAGCGACGTCTCAGGTGCAGGAGCCCCCTGGGCTTCCAGGAGGCCAGGCCCATGGGAGTCTGGTGCGGGAAATCCCCTCGATCGGCGCTGAAGGCGGGTGGGCCCCGAGAGAACAACAAGGCAACAAACAGGTAAAACGCAGAGGCCTAGCTTGCCTTCTTTACACTATGTACAGCCGTCTGGCGGGGCGCTGCGCAGTGAGGCGCAGGGCATCAGTGTCTCCAGCGCCAGCCGCGCTTCTTGGAGAACCTCCTGGGTCGGAGCTCCCCGAAGTCATCCATGTCGTTCTCGTATTCATTTTCCTGAACAATGCCTAGGGAAGAGATGGAGACAGACGTCAGCGAAGGGCCTGTGGCCGCCAGAGTCTGCCACGTGTGGGCACAATCTGTGCTGGCGTCCTCGGAGAAGGCGCAGGGACCGGCAGCTGGATGTGTCCACACGCACTCACACCCAGGCGTGCGTCGGCATCAGACACACCCTCACCACATACACGGACACACACATGTGCATGCCCACATTGCATATAGACACACCCTCACCACATACATGGACACAGATACACACGTGTGCACACCCAGATCGCATATACAGATACACCCTCACAACATACATGGACACAGGCACACACGTGTGCACACCCACATAGCATATATGGACACACCCTCACCACATACGTGGACACAGACACACTGTGTGCATGCCCACATTGCATGTACAGACACACCCTAACTACACATTCACACAGGCACACGTGTGTGCACACCCACATTACACGTAGGCATATGGGCATGCCCACACCACACGTGTGTACACCCCATCACATGCATGTACAGCCACGCCCTAACCACACACACACATACACGGACGCACATGCGTGCACGCCCACATTGCACATAAGCGCACCTGAGTGCACACCACACATGCATGCATGTACACATACACATTCACACACACGCACGTCTGGCAGGTGTCTTGCATTCTATGGCAAAGCATTCTGGTCCCAAGCCGGTCTCCTGCGCTTCCCTGGCTTGGTGCCTCTGGACCCGTCATAGCTGGGGCCCGAGGAACATCCTGCCCCGGCCCCCCAACGCCTTAAGGGCCTGCCAGGGGCCCATCCGCACCTGCCCTGCCCTTCCAGGCCCCCGCCAAACGACACGGGCCTCCTGCAGGGGACACGCGTGGTCATCGTTCTGATAATGGTCATGACCACGAATCGTGGCAGCTTTCAGGTTTGTGAAGCTCCTTTACAGATATGGCCTCGTTTATCCTCACGACAGCCTGGGAGGTAGGGGCTGCTATCTGCATTTTACACTTGAGGAAACTGAGGCAAACAGGGCTACATGCCCAGAGAAACACAGCTAGTGTCTGAGGCTGAATTTGAACTCAGATCTTCCCGACTCCAGGCCTGAGACTGACACACACACACACACACACACACACACACACACACACACACTCTCTTTCCCATGTATGATCTGAATCTTTATGGCAAAAAGCCAAATATGGGGAACCCAAATTCCACACTGAGCATCTGCGCTTCCAGGCAAGCGCAGGGCAGGAGCCGTGCAAAGCGGGGAACAGCCGCAGGAAAGCCATGCCAGCCCCAGTGACCGCTGCAGGACCCGAACGGTGTGAAACCTCAATAACAGAGAATACGTCACCTACTACGGGCCAGCACCTGGTCCTCACAACAACCCTGTGAGGTAGGTGCTGTTCTCATACCCATTTCACAGTGGAGGAAACTGAGGCCAACAAAGGGGAATGCCTTAGGCAGGTGCCTCAGCAGAGAAGCGCTCCTTCGGTCAGACCCTCGGGGGGCAGCTGGTCTCTGAGGCCCCTCTCCCTCCTTCTCAGTTATTTCTCTGCCATGGGGCAGGGCTGGGGGAGGGAGCGAGTCCTAACCAGTAACATGAAAACAAAAGGTGCCTATGAAAAATGCGATAAGACCATTTGGCACCAACAGTTTACATATCCTGGCTTCGGCCAGACTTCCGCCCCTAAAGGGGAGGGGACAACACATGCCAGGGAGTGGGTCAGGATGGGATTCGTGGCTAACTCTACCCCACCCCAGATGGAACCAGATGGAGACGCTGGGCACGTTTGGAGGACGAGCCCAGCACACGGGCTCGGGAGGGGATGGCAGCATCCCCGTGAGCAAGGTGTGCACTGGGCAAGACATTAGGCTGGGGCGCCTCACAGCAGGGCTCAGGGGAGAGACCCTCCTCACACACACACGTGCACACGTACATACACACGTGTATACACACACACACACACACGTACACAGCTCCACCTGACAATATGGGCACCCGGGCCGGTCTTCGGCAGCCGCAGTTGGGCACCCAAAAATCCAAGGAGAGACCCCTCAGAAGGGTCTGAGGGCACAAGGATGGCCAGCAGGGGACACCTCACAATGAGCCCATGGGGGGCTCATTTCAACGCTTCAGCTGCCGAGATCCCCAAGACCCCTGAGCAGACGCCAGAGAGGCCACAATCCGCACCAAAGGGGCCGCCCAAGCCCCAAAGACCTGCTCAGACGGCCGTCAGCTCCGAAAGGGGGGCCCGGAGGAGGACTGAGGCCCCAGATCCCAGCCCGGCAGGGGGCCCTTGGCCCCAAACATCGAATGAAGGCACTCTTCCCATGAGGCTCCTCTGAGTTAGCACATAACGCTCTCCTTCCACTTTACGGCACCCCGTCCCCCCTGGCCTGCGTGCCCTGGCCGACTCACCCGCTCACGCTAACCGTGGCCCTGACTTCCTCAGCTCCAGCTGGGTGGTCCAGGGCCCTGGCACCACCACAGTTTGTTTTCTGAATAGCCAGCAGTGACGTCCCTATCGCTGCCTTCCGTCCTCTGCGCTTCTGCCAAATGCACTTAAAAAAACGATCCCGAGAGGAGGCCCCAACCTTCCCCTGCCTGCCCGGGGTGTCCACACACCAGCTCAGACGGCTCGGGACGTCTCTGGGCAGGGCCAGGGGCACCTACTATGTGCTGGGCAGTGTACAAAGCACAGGAGGCACAGGGGACAAAAATCCGACAGTCCCTGCGTTCAACGAGACCTGTGTGCAAGGGCAGGTCTGTGCAACAGAAAGATGCGGTCACGGGGGAGCTGGGGCACCCTGGGAAAGGCGCTACGCAACAGGGCATGCGTCGGCACAGCTATGTACCAAAGTAGGCGCGAGAGGAAGAACCTGTGATGGCAGCGGTTTACGTCACTAACCCTCGAGCACGCCAGCTGAGGAAGCTGCCGACCCTTTCTCAGGAGGTCCTTAAATACACAAAATAAAATGCAGAGGATCACAAAGGACAGTATTAAAAAACAAACTCACAGACCCAGGTTAAGAGTCAGTGCTGGAGGGACTGCGGGAAGACAGAGATGCACACTAACACATTGTTGGTGGAGTTGCAGAGGTAAAGTGACTATAATGTCCACACCCTATGACCCGGAGACTCCACGACTGGGCTTACACCCCGAGGAAGCCATCGATAAAAAGAAAGCCCCCACAGACTCTGAAATACCGACAGCGGCACTTTTTGTGATAGCAAAGAACTGGAAACACGGTAGAGCCCATCGACTAGACCGTGGTAAAAGGACACGGTCCATGAAGGTGAAGGAACGTCCCAGTCCTCTAGGAAATGACGCATGTGACGGATACAGAGAATCCTGGGAAGAGCTCCATGACCCGCGGAGGGAAGGCGGCAGAGTCAGGGAAAGAAGCCACGCTGCGGCTGCAGCGTCAGCAGACGGAGGGGCACACGCAGAAAACGAAAGGGGAGATTCTGCATGCTTCTGGACTTCTTCAGTCTACATGGGTTGTGTGCATTCTTCCCTTCTTCTTTTACTGACTTTAAAAAACTTCTATTTTTTAATGTGATTAGGTTGTAAGCTCCCCCAGGACAAGGCCTGCCTCTTTCTCTCATTTGTATGGATAGCACTTGGCGCAGCAGCACCTAGTAGGTGCTTAACTGGCTCTGGGGGAAGTGATGGAAGCCATCCATAAGGAGGAAGCCGAGTCCCCTGCCCTCCCCCCAAAGCTGCCTGGCCTGGAGAGGCAGGACCCAGGCGGCTGCTGGGGCAAGTCTAGCGCTCACTCCTTGCCAGAGTCTGCCTCTAGGACCGCAAAGATTCCCCTCCCCGCCCCAGCTCAACTGCCGCCTCCTCCTCCTCCTCCTCCTCCCCCTCCACAGCCTGACGGAGCCCAGGAGGCCCAGGCTCGCTGGTCATCCCTCCTCACACGGCCTGAGCCAGAGGCGTGCCCCACGCTGTCTGGGGCTGCGTCTGCCCTAAGGTTCGTCCCCTCCCCTACAGATGCCCAGGCTGGGCTGGAAGCACCAAGTTTGTCTCTAAAATGAACCCATTAGTTCATGATTTAGATATAAAGGCTGATACTGTAAGCAAACTGGGAAAGCAAGGAATAGTTTCCCTGTCAGATCTATGGAGAACAGAAGAATTCATGACCAAACAGGAGACAGAGAACATTACGAAAAGCAAAATGGATAACTTTGATTACATTAAATTGCAAAGTTTTTGCACAAACAAAGCCAATGCAACTAAGATTAGAAGGAAGGTAGAAAATTGGGAAAGAATTTTTACAACCATTGTCTCTGATTAGAGCCTCATTTCTAAAATATAAAGAGAATTAAGTCAAATTTATAAGAATACAAGCCATTCCCCAAATGATAAATGGCCAAAGGATATAAACAGACAATTCTCAGAGGAAGAAATTAAAGCTATCTATAGTCATATGAAAAAATGCTCTAAATCACTATTGATTAGAGAAATGCAAATCAAAACAACCCTGTGGTACCACATCACACCTATCAGATTGGCCAACACGACAAAACAGGAATGTTGGAGAAGATGTGGGAAAGTTGGAACACTAATACATTGTTGGTGGAGTTGTGAACTGATCCAACCATTTTGGACAGCTATTTGGAACTGTGCCCAAAGGGCTACAAAAATGTGCATACCCTTTGACCCAGCAATAGCACTTCTAAGGCTATATCCCAAAGAGATCACACAAACGGGAAAAGGACCCACATATACAAAAATATTCACAACAGCTCTTTTTGTGGTGGCAAAGAATTGGAAATTGAGAGGATGCCCATCAATTGGGGAATGGCTGAGCAAGATGTGGTATATGAATGTGATGGAATACTATTGTGCTATAAGAAATGATGAGCAGGCGGAATTTAGAAAAAACCTGGAAAGACTTATATGGTCTGATGTTGAGTGAAGTGACGAGAACCAAGAGAACATTGTACTCAATAACAGCCACGTCGTATGATGACTAACATTGATAAACTGAACCCTTCCTGGCAATACAAGGATCTAAGACATCTCCAGAGGCCTTGTAATGGAAAATGCTATCCACACCCAAAGAAAGAACTATGGAAGCCGAATTGTTATTTTTTTTCTCTTCTGTTGAGTTTTGTTTCCTCTTTCTGATGGTTCCTCCTATTGGTTTTAATTCTTTACTTACAACATCAGTAATGTGAAAATGTGTTTAATAGGAATGTAAATGTATAGCCTATATCAGATTATGCACCGTCTTGGGGAGGGTGGAGAAAAATTTTAAACTCAAAAGCCTATGGAAGTGATTACTGATAAATCAAAATAAATTAATATAAAAATAAAAAATAAAATAAAACAAAATAAAATGAACCCATTACTTTGGAACCACCAATCCAGCAAACCGCCAGGCAGCAAGGTAGACCTGATCACCCCCCAAGTGCTGACGCTAGAGGTGGTGACATATGGGGGTGGGGCTGGGGCTGGGCTTGTAGCCAGGACACCCAGGCTGAGCAGGCCGGTGACCCGTAGGCGGGGCACAGCAAAGCCTCAGTTTACCTGTCTGAAAAACAAAGGAGATCACCGAGCGCTGCCCCTCGTGTTACAGATGAGGAAACTGAGGCAGGGAAGGCCTGAGGGGTCAACCATAGTCCACTGCCTCATGGCCCCGAAGGTGACGCCCCAAAGGCTCTCTCCTCTCAAGTCCCACACATAGGGACAGCCCTGAGCTTAGGGCCGGGGGCCCGAGGGTGTCTTTTATGACGGCTGCAAGGACTAGGAGGCGGCCAGAGGGGAGACCACCGAGGGTCCAAGGTGCCCGTCCATGTCTCGGACACGCTCGTCGGCCCCCGTCCCACAGGTGTCACATGACTTCCCCATACATGGCTGATGAGCAAGGGAAGAGGAATTTGAACCCAGGTCTCCAGACATGTTTGGCACTAGGACCCCCACCTCCAAGGAGAGAGGGGGTCTATGGGCACCTCTGAGCTCTGTTCCTTTACAAAGAAACTGCCTTTGAAAAGGCCACTTCAAATAAATCGCCTTGGGATTCTGAGGGCAGGGACCAAGCGTGAGGGGGCGCCTGGCCCACGCACAGGCCTCCCCAGGGATTTTGCTGGTGTAGGGAACTCCCGGGTGAGGAAGCTCCCTCCACCACAACAGGTCAGCCTGCTCTGCCCTGAAAGTCACAGGCAGGATGCCTAGGTCTTGCTGGCTCTGAGGCCTGCCCTCCGTCCACCACAATACCGTGCCTCTTGGGCCACTCAAGGAAAATAAAGAAAAACCTGCTACGACCACAAGATGAAAACTCCCCATTCCAAGGGAGCCAGCTCCACCTTGGCTTCCTGGCGCTTGGACAAAGTGAGAGGCCGAGCCTCCCAAACCAGGCCTGACTTTCCTGCGCTCTGGGGGCCCTGGCGAGCCCAGAAGCACACAGAGAACGGAAGGGACCGCAGGGCTGGGCAGCGTCACGAGCGCACGCCTGCAGCTTTGCTGCTCCGGCACTCACAGTCATCCCCCTGACCTCTTGGAGGCCAGCCCCAACCGCCCCTTCCCCACACCGGCGGGGGGTCGGGGACCGGCCGCTCTTCTCCCTGTCCTGCCAGCCTCGCCTCCGCACTGACCACTGACCTCTCACATTCACTCGCGACCGGTGCCTCGCCCGCCTTTGTCCAGACATCCGGCTCGGCTCTCTGCCCCTCCCCGATCGCCACACGACTGACCCCTGGCTTGCCCAGACCTCACGCGGCCTCCACGGCCCTCTTCGCCGCCTGCAGCCTCACCCAGCTCCACGCTCGTCGAGGACGGGGACGGAGGCACCCTCATCCTGGCCCCAATTCCACACCGGGGGGGCTCCCCGTAGCTGGCACGGCGCCTCACGAGAGGTTCTGGGGTGTGGGGCACCTGCCACGCCTCTCACCCCTCCCCCATTCACCGATGGGCAACTCAGCGGTCACCCTGTGAATCTCTGTGACCAGACAAAGGCAAAGCGAGATGACCGGAACGGACGGTCCCAGGCGTCTCCATTCTGGCGCCACGACTAGTGCCCCTCACCACCTGAAAGCCACCAATGCTAACACACGGCATCCTTACCTTCCTCCTTCAAACGGTCCTCCGTTTTCATCAGCCACTTCCGAGCATCACTGACAGAATGGGCCAAAATGTTAACCAGCCTAGTCATCGTCTCCTCGGCTACAGAAACAAAACATGTAGGGTGTAAGCACACGAGCAGGAGCACGGATGTCGACGGACGGTTCCCACACGCAGCCCCGATGGGCGGCACCATGTGCGCCCCTCCCAGGAAACGCCTGGGTGCGCGTGGCCAGAAGCCATGAGGCCGAGTGTCCAGCCGACCAACCGAAGCGGAAACTCTAGCTCCACAGAGCTTTTAATAGCCACACCATCACATGAAGGGGCGTGAGAAGTCTCCCAAAGCAAGGCCTCCGAGCAAGCCTCTTTAATTCCACCGACTGGCTCAGGGCTAGGGAGGGAAATGATTTGGCAGCCTGCATTCTGACATTTAAAGCCATTTAGGTATCCTCACTTTGTAACATCAAGTCTTACTAGGACCTACAGCCCTATAATTAGAGTTGCCAAATGGAATGCTGTGGAAAAGGCGGTTGTACCGGCGGTTTCGAAGGAAGGCCCAGCAAACAACGTCTTGCTATGAAGTGCTTCTCCCTATGGAGTCAGGGAAACGTATACTTTTACTTTGTTTCTATGAGGATCTGGGAGGTAAACTGTAGAGAGAGTGACACTATTAAAAGTGATAGCCTGAGAGAAGCTGAAGAAATTGCTCCTTGTTATGGCCGAGAAGTGAGTGAGACAGTGGCAGAAGACAGTGAGAAAGGAGATGGAGGGATCTTCTTTTCTGAAGAAACTGTTCTGACCTTTGTCTTGCAAGGAGGACTTTTCAGAAGAGAATTTACTTGGTATCTTCAGAGAAATTGAATACTGTAGGCCTGATTTTTCACGAATAAAGAAATGCCAGCCACTACTGTGAAAGTTGGAGGTGACTCTGGCTGTGACATTTCTCATAGTCAAAATATTGCAAATAATTACCTAAATCTATATTTATTCTCATTCTGTGTTACAAATTGAATGTATTAAGTCATTTTGCTATTTAGTCATAAAGAAAATCATAGTATTTAATGTGTAGAGAAAAAAGCTATTGTTGCTGGGAAAGAAAGTTTCTAACTGGTATCTAACGAACTGTGCTGTGTCTGGAGCTAATTAACGAGTGAAAAAGAGGATACTGAAGCAAGAGACTTAGAAAAATAACACTAAATGAGAGAAGGAGCCAAGCGGCGGGCTGACCTACAAAAGAACGGCAGCCAGATTTAACTGAGTGTAGCAGGGAAGTGCGTGCAGAGAGCGGCCTCGCGAGCGGCCGCAAACAACCTTTCCTCAGAAAGTTCACGTTTCCCCCGTCACTGCTCCTGCTCGCACCGAGCGCTGTTCGCTCGCTGAGCGAGACGTCCGGTCTATTTAGTGCGAGAGCGGACGAGTCAGACTGGGATGAACTCACCCCATCCCGGGCTCCGTCGTGCAGAGCTAGCCCTCGGGACCTTCCTTCTGGCGAGGCCGGAGTCTTCCTACCGCCCCTCCCGGCACTCAGCGCTCTGTCCTCACATCTCCATCCGAGACCTCACCCCCACCGCCTCGCACTGAGTTCCCACTGCCCGGCCCCAGGGCACAGGAGGTGAGCTCCAGGAGGCCACGGGAGCGCTACGGGTGAGCTCCAGGTGGCCACGCGGGCACCGGAGGGGGGCGCCACGGGCAAGCTCTAGGCAGCCACCGGAAGGGGTGCTACGGGGGCACCACAACCTGGGAGGAGGGGGTCCCAGCCTTACCATCAGCCCAGGCCTTCCTCCTGTAGATGTCCTCCACCGCATCCAAGACCCTTTTAATATTCTCCAGGATCTTTCTCTGAAGAACCTTGTTGTGCTCCTGGGCGCCCAGGTGGCTCTCGGCCCCGGCGCTCTGCGCGACGCTCCTCACAACCAGCTTGCCCTCGCCGATGGCCGGGTCCACCCTCGCGCTGAAGAACTCCAGGTACCGCCGGTAGGCCGCGTGCTGCTTTTGGTGGGCTTCGAGGCGCACGTGCTCCTCATAGGACTCGCCGGCCTCCACGTCCGCACTCCCCTCCAACACGTCCTTCTCCGTGGGCTCGGCCTCCACGGGCATCAGGGCTTCCGCCGACTCGGCCTCGAAGGCCTCCCTCAGTCTAAAGTAGTTCTCCAGGCCCTGAATGAACTTGACCCCACACAGGTCGCACTGCGTCCGGTCCACGTCTGCCCTCCTGAAGTTGCCGGCGTCTGGCTCGCGTGGCTCCTCCCAGAAGGGCTCCGCCTTGGCGCGCGCCCGCCGCCGCCACCGGATGCAGAGGGAGACAAGGAGGCAGACCCTCCAGAGCTGGCGGCAGCTGGAGATCTTCTGCAGCTCCCTCCGCCGTTTCTGGAAGACGATGGAGGCGAGCACATCCTCCCTCTCCTCCGCGGGCTCATCGCGGTCGCACTCGGCCTCGGGGTCGACCACGAAGGACTCCGTGGGCCGGAGACCGAGGAGCCGGTTCAGGTTCACCTCCTCAAAGTAGAGGCCCCGCGCCACGGGGCCCCTGCCGTGGCCCGGGTCCCAGCGCCAGTAGCAGTCCACCAGGAACTCCTCGTCGCGCTCGTAGAGGAGGGCCTGCAGGGCCTCGGCCACCGCCTTCATGTCCGCGGCAGCCAGCACCCTGTCCACCACCCTCAGCAGCCTGAGGGGCACCCCGGAGGGGAACTCGGTGCGCATGAGCCGCAGCCGGGAGGCGATCTCCTGGAAGTGGCGGCACAGCACGGGCTTGTAGCACGGCCGCACGACCACGTCGGCGTTGACGAGCATGACGAGGCACAGGACGACGGCGCGCTCGGCCTCGCCGGACTCCACGTGGCGGACGTCGCCGAAGGCGTCCAGCAGGACGTCGAAGTCGCCGTTCTCGCAGCCGCAGAGCACGCGGGCCAGGTAGGCGAGGTGGAAGCGAAAGGCGCGGACGGCGCGGCTCACGTCCTTGGGCTTGTACTCCTGGATGATGGCGAAGACGTTGCACGGCTCCCTGTCCTCGTCCCTCCTGCCAAACAGGTAGTCCCAGTGGTGCATGAGGGCGATGTAGCTGCGTGGCAGGCAGAGCGCGGCGCCCTTCCAGAGGCGGGCCAGCACGGCGCCGCAGTGCACGAACTGGAACTCAAGCAGTGCCAGCGTGTGGCCGACGGCGGGGACAAATGGCTCCCTGCAGCGCCGCACCAGCACGTTCATGAAGCGGAAAAAGAGGCGCTTGCAGTCCTCGGGGTCGCGGGACACGTAGAGCCGGTCCATGGAGCTCTGCAGCAGCCGGATAAAGCACAGGTGCGTCTTCTCGGCGCTCTCCTCGTCCTTGCGGGGCAGCAGCATGCCGCAGCGGCCCTCCACACCCTTGGCCCGTGCCCAGTCGTCGGGCTCCGCGGCCAGCGCCCTCAGCTCCTGGCCGTAGTCCTCCTCCACCTGGAGCAGCAGCTTCTCCAGCTCCTCGGGGTAGCCGGAGGACAGCGCCAGGGCCCACATGGCGCTCAGCCACAGGTCCGTGGACTCGCGCCGGCTGCGGGCGCGCTCGTACCGGAAGCGGAAGCGCACATACTCCCTGAGGGCCCCGTGGTAGGCCCTGACGGAGCGGTAGCTGGGCCGGAGCATCTCCCGGCACGCCACGGGGTTCTCCGACATCACCCTCTGGTGGAAGTGCTTAGGGAAGACGACGTCGAGGAGGGCCCCGCAGAGGCCGTAGGCATCGGCCGGCAGCAGGTCGTCAATCTCCTCCAGCTCGGGCGCCAGCACCCTGGGGAACACCCGCTTGGCCTCCAGCAGCAGCCCGTTGAGGGCGGCCAGGTGCATCCGCGACTGCACGATGGTCCTGGCCTCGCCGCGCCGCAGGGGCCGGTGGAAGTCCTCGCAGGAGGGGTCTTCGCACCCCAGGCCGGCGACAAACCTGCCGCAGACACCGGGGTAGGTGGCGCCCAGCAGGCCCCGCGAGATCTCACACAGCCGCGCCAGCAGGTGCCTGGTCAGGGCCAGCCTGACGCCGTCGACGGCCACCAGCAGGTGATCTCTGGCCGCCTTCTCCTGCAAGCCCGGGTTCAGGTCCAGGACGATCTTCAGGATGGGCCCGGGCTCGCCATGGGACATCTGGCAGTGCCCGGCGTCCACCTGCGAGATGCCGAAGAACTCAAAGCATGACTTGACCATCTCCTTCTCGGCGTTGCTGTTCACCCTCTTGAGGGCCCTGACCAGGTGCAGCAGCGCCTCCAGGCCTTCCAGCGCCAGGGCCAGCAGCTCGTCGGCGCCTGGCCGGCAGTGGCACATGACCTCATAGAGCGCCTCCACCGCACCTGCGGGGTGGTTGAGGTGAATGAACTTGTAGAAGGCCACCTCGAGCCGCGGGAAGTCCTTGAGCAGGACCCCCTGCAGGAAGTAGGCCTCGGCAATGCCCGTGCGCTGCCCTGTCTGGTAGCAGAGCGCCAGCGCCTCCTTCAGGATGGTCTTGGTGTCCTCCAGGTCGGAGCCCCGGGCCACGTTGAGGCGCGCGGCCTCCAGCAGGCAGGAGGCGCGGAAGTCCTCATCGGCCGTGAGCCGCGCTGCCTCCCGCAGGAAGCCATGCTGTTTCATGAGCAGGGCCGCTTCCTCGTGGCGGCCCTCCCCCTTCAGCAGGGCGGCAGCCTCGGCCAGGTGCTTGCGGGACTTGAGGAAGGCCAGTTGGTCCTCGATGTCGAGCTTGGAGAGGACGGACATCATTTCTCTGGTCTTGTTCAGGTTCAAGTACTTGGCTGCGGCCTCCAGGTAAAACTGGCTCGCGGAATAGGACAGTTTAGACACGGGCTGCGCCTTGGCCCTCAGCATCTCCTCGTACCTGCGGGGCCAAAAGACACAAAGAGCCGCTTACTAAGGACAGGTGGCCCTGCGGCCTCGCCCCACCCCCCAGACACTCCCAGCCTCAGAGACAGACAACAGGAGGACAGCCCGGGCCGTGCACCCAGTGGGACATCCGGCCCGGACCGCCTGCCCAGTGGGACACACAGCCCGGACCGTCCACCCATGGGACGTCCGGCCCGGCCCGCCCTCCCAGCGGGACATGCAGCCCGGACCGTCTGCCCAGCGAGACGTCCGGCCTGGACCGTGTACCCTGTGGGACGTCCAGACAACACGCGACCTGCTCAGATGGACCGAGAGATATGAGGAGCAGGGGGCCAGGCCTGGTGTGACGATACCTTGGCTACGGGCGCCATATTGCTTATCCGTGGCATCTGGAGCGTTCCATCTTTGTCTCCCCCATACCCAGCCCAAGGTCTGGCCCACAAGAGAAGGCCTGAAGTCACTGCTGCTGACCATTCTCATGTGCAATCGGCCACTGGGGGCTGGGGGACCCAGACCCACTCGCCCGCTACTCAGAAAATTCCCAACAGTGACTCGTGACCCCGCACAGCACTGCCCTCCACACGTGATCTCCCTGGAGTGTCGCCGTGCTATGCTTATGGTAACTGCTCTTTTTCTAGATGAGGACACAGGCCCAAGGAGAGATGACTTGCCCAGGGTCCCACGTGCCTCGCTTAGTCCAAGGCCGCTCCCAGGGTCACGCTGGCAGACGAGGGACGGGGGCCCAGTGTCCCCACCAGGGAACGTCCCAGGCGCTGCGCCACTCCATCGCCTCCCACTGGGATCCTCATCCCAAGCAGGCCCGGGTGGCTCGGCACCGGGGGCCACCAGAGCACTCCCCGCCCCGCAGGGCACTCACTCCCGTACGAAGCTCAGCCTCATTTCCTCCCCTCGTCAACGACCAGCCAAGGCTGTCCCCCGCGGGCCTGGGCTTCCTCAGTGCCTTGAACTCGGGAGGTCCCAGCCATACAACAGGGGCCTGCAGCTCTGTGAGGCTGCGTAACCGGGTTTAACCCGAGGAGACTCAGAGAACACACGGGGAGCAGCGCCCCCACCCAGCCCAGGTGCCCTACTGGGCCCCAGGGACAGCAGCCTGACGCCCCCCACACACCTCTGCCTTCTGCGCTAAGCCCAGTCACAGATCACCCAAGGTTCTGGGCTCCCCCGAGTGACCTCCTGTCCCCCAGACCCCCATCCCCTAGATGCGCTCTGCCCCCGTTAGAACGGGGACTCCTTGGGGCAGCTAGGTGGCACAGTAGATAGAGCACCGGCCCTGAATTCAGGAGGACCTGAGTTCAAATCCAGCCTCGGACACAAAACACGCACTAGCTGTGTGACCCTGGGCAAGTCACTTCACCCCACTGCCTAGCACAAAAAAACAAAAAAGAACGGGGACTCCTTGACAGGAGAGCCTACACGCCTCGCTCAGCGCCTGGCACACAGCAGGTGCTTAATAAATGCCTTTTCACTGATCTCCTTCAACACACTCTAAGCCCTGAGCCCCAGCCCAAGGCCCCCCAGCAGACCGCAGCCAGCATCCCTCCAGACCTGAGGGCAGGGAGAAGACGATGCCGTCCGCCGGGCGAGACGGGAAGTCAGTGCCTGCTCCGGCACCCCAGGACGATCTGGGGTCTGGGGCTGCCACTGAACAGCTCTGCCTCCCTCACTCACACCTGCTCCCCTTCCCCACGTGGAGGAGCCCTGCTTTGGGAACGCGACCATCTGGGCCCTGGTGGCGGCGGGATGACGTCGCGCAACTCCCTTCACCTCCCTGGGCCAGTTTCCTCACTTCTGGTGTTTGGGGAGAGCCTCGAGGGCCCTGGGGTCTCCCCCTCCTCGGAGTCCTGGGTTCAGGGGAGGCAGTCATCTCCCCGTGGCTGCCAAGAGTGCAGGCCACAGGTCTGAGAGCCACGGAGCCCGGGCAGAAAATCCCACCGCCGTCCATCCGACAAACGGGCCCCAGGCTGCCCTGGCCCCGCCAACGGAGAGAAGGGCAGGGACCTCCTCCCCATCAGGGACGGATGCCTGCCTACCCCTGCAGAGTGCTCCAGGACCAGCAACGCGCCGCCCACACACGCACACACATGCACGCGCACGCACACGCCATCTGACCCCGAGAGGCAAGCGACACCGGGAGAGAGTGGGAAAACAGAGGCCGAGAGAGAGAAATGACTTACCACAGTCACCACGGCCACTAAGCGGCGGAGGTAGAGGGAGAGCCCCGGTGTTCCTGCTCCCAAGCTGGTGCCCATTGCCCGGCACCGTTTGGAGCTGGGGAAACGAAGCTTCCAGAGAGACAGGGGCTCACGGATCCGGTCAGAGCAAGCGCAGCGCCGTCAGGCCGTGGGGTGGGGCCCAGATCTGACTCTATTCAGGGTCTAGGAACCCGAGCCGTAGTCATGGCCGGGTCAGGTCAACCTCGCAGGGGCACCGTGGTACCCCCCAGAGCGAGGGCACCCCGGGGACCACCCACGGGGGCAGGGGACTCGGGGCAGAGCGGGTTCCTTGTCTGAGGGCCACCTTGGTCTCTGACCCTACCCCTCCTCTCCCCGCTCCCCGGGGAGCCATCCCTTATGACAAAGAACGAAAAGAGAAAGAGAGAGAGCAGCTCAGTGAGACCAAGCGACACACAGAGTGGGTCTGGCCGCGTATGCCGTGCTCCGCCCCTGCGGCCCCCCCGCCCACTCTGCCGGGAATGCCCTGCCCCGCATCCTCGGGGCTCTCTCCAGCTATGCTCCCGCGGTCCCTGCGCGTCAGCTCGCACAAGCATGCATCAGCTGACCCCAGTCTTCCCAAGCTCCTGCCTTCTTCGCACTCATGTCTCTTGGCGACATGCGTGCAGGGGAGGAGCCATTCCCCAATCAATAGGCGACCTCCCTGGGGCGCGCGGCCCAGCGGGGGGGATCTCTGGGTCACGCTCTGAACGCAATGCCCCACGGCGCGGGGGACCAGCTGGGCCCCCCGGGCGTGGGCACGCGGCCTTTCTGAGCCTTCCACCCTTGGCTGTTCTGGCCAGTCTCGGGGTGAGGGGAGCCCTCGGGGCTCTGCAACTGCTTCTTATTCTCCCAGGTGCGGCGCAAGCTTCCGGATGGCTGCCAAAACGTGCCACTCTTCACGCCCTCTAACCGCCGATCCACTGGGGAATGGCTCCCGGACTTTGTGCCCGTCAGCGCCACATGGCTTGGACATCAGACCCGGGGTTCTCCCTATCAACAGCCTTCCTTCTCAGCCTAGCCGCGCTGCTTTTGTTCATGCACTCAGGCTCCGGGGGGGGGGCCCTCGCCAGGCCAAGAATTCTCCTCCAGCCTCGGCTGTGCCAGGTGCCAGAGGGCACCTCTCTCCTCTAGGCTGCTTTGATATTCAGGGAGAACGTCCCCACCACACCCATTCCTGACTCTGTCTGGACAGATTCAGGAAGGAGCGTGGTGAAGGGAGAACGGCGGACGACACCCCCCCCCCCAGCACAGCGGTCGCATGCAAAGGGCCGAGCGGGGCCCCCACTATCCCACGGCCAGAAGCGAGGGAGGTCATCGCCCCGCCGTTTCCCCTTTGCGACATGCAGGGGAGCCCAGCAGGGATTCCGCGCCTCCCGCACAGACCTGGCGGAGGCAGGCTCCGGGACGAGGGCTCGGCTCACAGCTCAAAGCAGCGAGGGGCCGGGACACCCACGGAAGAGAGGGGACGCTCACTAAGGAACGGGGGACACGCATGACAGCAGCACCTACTTCTCCACGGCCTGTGCGGCCTCCTCAAAAAGCCCCTCCTGACAGTACATCTTGAGGGCAAGATCAAACTCCTGGATCTGCTCAAAGCAGCGGAAGGCGTCCTTGTAGCACTGGCTTCTCTTGTAAAAGTAGGCGGCGTCTTTGATCTGGGGGAGGAGAACGCAGAGTGAGCAGGCCTCCTGGCGGGGAGGAGAGCTGCAAACTCTGGAGAGAGGTGCCCAAGAGGGCAAATGGCTTCTGCCCTCCCATGGGACCCTCGGTGGCAACGTGTCGCCTCCTCAGGCCCGGGCACGGCCATCGCTACTGGGGGGCTCCCCCACTCTGACCCAGCCTCCGTTCGGGGGGCAGGTCCGACCCTGTGGCCCACTCCCCATAATCTCCGGGGCTCCCTGTGGCTGCCGGGGTCCACGATGGATGCCCCTCCCCCTGTCTCTTCCAGGCAGCCCAGGCCTCGGGGGCTCCTTTCTCCAGGCCTTTGCCCAGCCTGAGCCCCTGCCCAGAAGGCCTCCCCTCTGCACCCTCCCCAGCCTGGGCATTGTCTGTAGACAGGGGTCTGCAGGCCAGTCCCCGCCCCTACACACACTTGACTGTGAGGCCTTCAAGGGCAGGGCCCGTTCTGGCCTTGCTCCATACCCCCTGAGCTTAGTACAGAGCCCAGGCCCGTCAGAGGCAGGTGCTCACTCAACGCTCTGCTGACCGGCTGCCTGAGTCCGTCCTCCACATGTCCCAGGTGTCCCCCCAGCAGCAGTCCTGTGGGTGATGCCACGTGTGCGTGGCAGGCCACGGGCCAGTGCTGAGGGGGCTGCCAGTCAAAGGGTCCAGGGAGCTGCTGACCCACAACCCCAGAAGGCTTCCAGGGAAATCAGAGAGCAGCAGCCCTCCTCCCACACATGGGATGAGCTCCATTTCCCAGGTGGGCCGCAAGAAGGCGGGCCACCCTCAGCTGATGCCTGGTCAGCACACTCTGCCTCCCTGCTCTCAGGGACTTTCCACGGCCCCCGAGACAAAACAGATGCATCTGGTGGGCACTGAGAGCCTTTCACAGCCTGGGGCCTTCTCGCTCTTTCCCAGACTCAGCATCCCACCTTGGTGGCTTTGCCTGGGCAGTGCCCCATGCTGGGAGCGCCCTGCCCCGGAGTCAGTGCGGGACAGTGCACGCACATGCGCCAGCCTTAATAAAGGCGGTCGCCCCTCCCTCTGCCCTGCTGGCCGCCCCGTACCTTTCCTAGCTTCTCACAGAGGAGGCCAGACAGCTGGAACTCCCTGGCATAGCCCAGGCACTTCAGGGACAGCTTGGGCTCGCCGCACTCCAGGTAGGTCTTGGCCAGCTCCAGGTACTCCATCTGCTTCTCCCTGGGGCGGGCGGCAGAGGGGGGAGGGGGTGAGTGGGTGCCCCAGACGCCCTTGGCTCCACCCCCAGCCCCACTGCCCGCCGGCACCGCTCCCTCACTTGGGGCTGACTTTCTTGGATTTGACATTGAGGACGGCATGGTGGGCCAGGGCCAGCTTCTCCTTGTCGAAGGCAGCTCCCTTCTGGTAACACTTGGCGGCCACCTGGGGAGAGGAGTAGAGCTGGTGGGCCAGGAGGGCGGCGTCCGGCCCTCCCCCACCTCCCCCAGGCCAGGGGCACCTTCCCCCGCAGGGTGCTCGCTGCCCACGGCGGCAGCACGGACCAGGCACTCCCTGCTTAATCAAGAAGACTCAAGCCGCGTTCTCACCGGTTCCTATTAAACCCATTTCACAGATGGGGCACCTAAGCGAGACATGGGGGGGTCGGCTGCTTTGGGGAACAGGAGAAAGCCTCGGGGCACGTCAATGCCAGGTGACTCAGGAGGCTGGGGCCCTGTCCTTGCCAGGCAATGGGGCCCATGGGGCAACACTCAGTCTTTGCCACATCCAGGTCTTGGATCCTGGAAGCCGAGCTCCAACCCCCAAGGTTCTCAGGCTACCACATGCACAAAGTTAGGGGACGAGGCAGCGGGTCACACGGTGGACAGGGCCCCAGGCTGGGGGTCACGAAGACCCGAGTTCAAATCCAGCCTCAGACACTCACTAGCTGTGGGACCCTGAGCACGTCACTCCAACCTGTTTGCCTCAGTTTGTTCAACTGTAAAGTGGAGATAATAACCACGCCCACCTCCCAAGCTGTCGTGAGGACCAGATGAGATGTTTGTAAAGGGCCTAGTGCACAACAGATGCCCTGTAAACGCCAACACAAGGCCGAGGGGCCGGCCCTGCCCAAGGCAGATGGCGGCAGAGGCAAGCCAGAGCCCGGCCCCCCCTCCCCATCCCGCGGCACCATGGCTGATGATGGGGGCGCGCGGGCCAAGACCAGCAGGCTCCCAGGCTTCTGCCACCGCCCCAGCTGAGCCATCAGGGACAGGACGACGGCCTCCAGAGGGCTCACTACCAGCACATCTCATCCACCCGTGGAGGCCGGCCACCAGGACCCCATCCACGTGGGCACCGCCAAGCGGCTGTTCCGTGGGCCCTGGACTGACCTTGTACCACACGGGCAGCCACGGATGCCTGACTCTAGTCCCCACTGACTACCCAGGGGCCTCTCTGGGCCTCCTCTAACATGCCACGGGATTAGCACAGCTGCCCACTGGCCAAAAGGCAGGCCTGACCCACTTCCTCTTGGGTCTGGACTCTGCCCACGTGGCGCTATCCCCTACTCCCACCGGGGGGACCAGGCTGGACGAGGCTTCAGAGACAGGGCCAGCCCCGACTGTGAGGCCCAGCCTTGCAGGATGACCACTGGGTGATGAGTTCTCCAGCCAGGGGGACCTGGGAGACACGCACACGGGGTTCTGAAGTACCTGCCGTGCAGCAGAGGTGGGAGAGGCAATTCCAGGCCGGACCCTAGAGAGCTGTTAGAGCGCCAGAGCCCTGCGCGGCAGGAATGGATGAGTAAAGGAATGAATCTGTGCACAAGGGAATGAGTGCATGCCTGGCACTCAGTAAGCGCCATATAAGTGTTAGTTATTATCATTACTACGAATGAATGAGTGAGTGAATGAACGAGTAAGTGTGCGAGGAAACGAATGAGTGCCTGGCACACAGTAAGTGCCATATAAATGTTAGTTATTATCATTACTACGAATGAATGAGTGAGTGAATGAACGAATTAGTGTGCAAGAAAACGAATGAGTGCCTGGCACTCGGTAAGTGCCATATAAATGTTAGTTATTATCATTACTATGAATGAATGAATGAATGAGTGAATGAACGAATTGGTGTGAGAGGGAACCCAATGATTGCCTGGCACACAGTTAGTACCATATAAAAGTTATTATCATTACTAT